GGGGATTACCAGCGATGAGAGAATAAGAAGTCTTTAAAATGGATTTAATTTTATTTTTCTATCACTAATACAGTCTCCAGCTTGGCTGTCTTTCTGTTAGTGACCTCCAAGTCTATGACTTCTTGAACATGCATTTTTCTCCATTGTTCCTTCTTTAAAGAAAGAAAGGCCTGTTATAACAGCAATGAATAATCTAATGGAATCCTGCTGCTACTCCCTACTGTTCCTTGTCTTTCCTTCTTTCATATGTGTGTTGTCACACACAAGTCTAATGTATACAGCTCAGACATATTAACAGACACCCCCACCCAGCCTGCCCTCAATTAAGTTGCCAACCCAACGCCTCACTCCCAGCCACTGGAGAAAGATTGCCTGTTACATCACTCAAGCCCATTATTCTCATTTCTCCCCATGGCATCCATTACTCCTACATGCTTTTTAGCTCATAGTTGAAGCAGAGGCAAGACATATTTTGCATTTTAAGATTAATATTATATATCTTTGACTTTTACAAGGCTAGACACCCTGGGGACTGACATTTAATAGATGTTAATGGAATTTAATTTTTACACATGCTAGGTGCGAACATTTATCTTCTAAATAAAATTGTATGAAACCTAATGTAGCACCAAGAAAATCTCATAACAAATTATTTTTCACTCTAGATCTTTAAATTGAGTTACCAAGCAAAGTAGAAAAGCTGTTTTTTTGATATTTAGGATTTAAAACCTGAATATAATTATCATTAATTAATGACACAGAGTATCAACAGGCATTTTGCCATAGTGATTACCATTGCAAAACAGTTCTAAAATGCTGCCTAAAAAGAAACTTTGTGCATAATCTATTTTCTTATTGACTTTCATTAAGCAAGGGGCAATGGTTTTCCCTGGGGCAAAATAAAGTCTGGCCCGAAATATATTAAATGATAATCAGCATGATAAACATTTTCAAAATGTTTCTATATGGAAAAAACTAATCAAGCAAAACCGCTCAAAAATAACTTGTAGAATTATAGGTATTTGATAATGTATGCTGAATAAATTAATGTGGTGGTATAAGGCTGTGACTAAGAGCATAATAGCCACTGTTTTTTTTAAGTACGTTTTTCTCTGGATGTCAAGTATAGTTTAATTTCAAATTTTGGCTGATGTTACGATTCACAGAATTTCACTAATACTAAAGAAAGAAGTAATCACCCTCTTCGTACCTTTGTAATTTTCACAATTTATGAACTATCCTATGTTTATTCTCTACATATTTAAAATGCTGAAATCTCTTCAGTTCCAATTAATGAAGAAAAACTCTTCTCTTTTTGCCTTTAGTGCCTGGCACTGAAGTGCCTACTTAATAAACATTTGATGAGTAAATGAATGATTTTGACAGTAGTCAGGTGCTTACAGCAAAAATGAGGTAATGCAGTATTGCAAAGAGCAATGTGAGGCCACAGATCTGGGTTCTTGTCCCAGTTCCACCAGAAACTAGCTGTGTGACCTTAGGTAAGAAACTTGACCTTTCTGATCCTGGACTTCTTCCATGTAAGTTTGAATGCTAGAGATGATCTCACGGGGTCTTTTTTCTACCTCTAAAAGGGTACAGTTCCAAATCATAAAATTAGCCAATCATTGTTCTTGCCAGTTTTACTTTGGACCATAGCCAAGGGCATCTATAGGAGGTAGACACATTTAGGCTGCAGAACTTCTGCATTTGAGATTACATGTAGTAGCCTCTAGAATGAAATCTGTAAAGAGGTTCCATATGCTAAGGCAAATAGTAGAAAGATACAAGCCTCAAGGGTTTACACAAAGAAGAATTGAGCAAGTGTAGGAGAAGCATACAAGAGAAGTAGAAGGGAAACCTGTGGGGAAAAAAAGTCTCCTTAGCTCAGACTAGTGAAGTCTCCAGGCAGTAGGTTTCTTCTAGAGGTCAAAAGTGAGTAGGTTTTATGTAGTATTTATGAGTGATTAACAAAATGATTAATTTATAAAAGGCTTCCCTTCCAAAGAGAGCACCAGGGTGCTTTATTTCCTAGTTGGATACCGCTTTGCACGTAAATAAAGGAGAATCACTGCTGCCAGTCAGGGAGGCATTTTGACAAGGCAGGTGTGTTCTTGTCTCTGTCCTGATTTACTGTATGACTCTGGGCAAGTCATCATCTTCCCCCAAACCAGCTGCCCTGATTATAAAATGGAAACCAAAATACTCACGGCCTTCGCTGAGGATTAATGAGACAAGATGAATGTCTTTAAGTTCCCAGAGGGGAAAAGGCTGTATATAAGAAGGCAAAGAACTACTAAGTAGGACTGTTGGACTTTTCACATAATTTGGGAAAGAAAAAAAACAGGACAATGAAAGTCTGATGTTTTAAGTTTTCCGGTCTTAAAAAAAAATTCATCTCTAACAACCAGCCCCAATTTTTCCTGCGTGTTACACAGCACGAGCTGCAGCCTGCGAGGGTTAGTTGGTTAGTAGTGGGAAGGGTGGTGCCGGATTTATCCCTGGTGTGTAACCCCGAGCTCCATCGTGAACAGTGTCATCTTGGGCAAATGAGTTTCAGTACCTCAATTTCTTCTCCTGTAGGATATTGGATACTCCTACTACTTACCCTATATGCACAGATATATGTTATAGACGCCTGGCATAGAGTAATTTCCCAATAAATATTTGCTGATAACTTCTGCTTCTTAGCAGCATCATTCAAACTGCTGGAATATTTTCCCTTTAAAAATCAAAGGTCTTTATGAGAGAGTATCGGGATATAAAGATGAACGTGACGTAAACATTTGTACTTTGAAAGAGGGTAGGGAACGAAGGCGACACCATAAAGCTCACTTCCTTCTGAATGAGGAGTTTGGGGACGTGGACAACGCCCGCGCGGACGCGAGGGGGCACTGCGAGCCTGCTTTGGCGACTTAGAGGCGGCGGCGGGGCGGGTCGGGCGCTTCCACCGTCCCAGCGCCCGGGCGCGTCGCCACCTACCAGGGTCCGCGACCCGCACTCGGGCTCCGGAAAGCGCAGCCTGGGGGACCCAGGGCTGGGGCCACACACAGCCCCACAGGTCTTCGCATACGTCTCTTCCCTTCCTCCCCAAGCATATGGTCGTTTTTAGCAGCTGTTCTTAATGCCAGATTCCTGAGTCCCAGGTCTTGGGAAAACCAGAATCCCCCCGCAACTAGAGGGAACATTTTCTATGCGTCTACGTCGGGTATCATCCTGGGCAAAAGGACCAAACCTATCAGTTCTTTAAAGGGTTCGGGTCCCAAGAGGGGGTTAAGCTCTTTTGATTTAGGGAAATACGTCCCCCACCTACCCCTCCCACCCCCAGCACCACCAAAGGCCCAACGCGCAGCAGGTTGGGAAGGACTCTGAAATCACTGCCTGTCCACCTACCAAGGTCAGGCAAGAGGCTGGCACTCGCCCGAGGACGCCTTCAGAAAAACGGTCAGGTCAGGTCCTGAAACAGCTCAGGTACGAAGCTGAATCGCTCCTCTGAGAAAAGAGTAGACAGTATGCCCGCCCCACGTTCCTTTCCGTCCCCATGAGGACAGACGCAGGGAAATGTGGTCGAGGCGTTTTGTCCGTTCCACCTGCCGCTCGGGTCCCCACTCCCAGGCGGTTTGGCGCGATAGGGAAACTCGGCTGATTTTGTTACTCCCTGGAGAGAAAGTGCCGAGGGGCGGAGATGTCAGAGCGTCCCCTCTCACGCGAGCCGCCTGCTGCGGGCTGTATCGATTCCCACGCGATCCCGGGGCGGGCGGAGAGTCTGCTCTGATTCCCGGGCTCCAGGACTGGACGCCTCGCAGTGTCCCCGGGGGCGCAGCCACCCAGGGCGCGCGGGCAGAATACAAGGTGGGGCCGAGAGAAAGCACGGTGCAGACAGGAGCTAGGGGCCGGGCAGAAAGCAGGGCGCGGGACCGAGCGGGACGCGCCGACCGAGGAGAAAGTACTACCCATCCCAAACTTTCGCAGATCCGGGAGCCTAGGAAGGGCGAGCCAAGCAGAGTGGCAGCCTCTCCCGCCGCCCCGCGAGCCCCGCTGCAGCGAGGAGGGGACGCGCGCACGCCAGCTGGACGCCGGCGGTCCCACCTCGCGCCCACCCGCCGGGCCGAAGCGCCGCGGCTCCGGGCACTGAGCGGGCGCCCACGGAAGAGGTCAGACCGCCGGACTCTGGGCTGCGGCGGAGCTCCGAGGAAGGGGGACTCAACGCGGATCGGGGAAGGGAGAAGGGACACTTAACCTCGCAGCCTGGCCTAGCGCGGCGGGGCGGCGGGGATGTGCCCTTGGGCGGCCCTTGGGCGCGCAGGCTGGAGTCAGGCAGGCTCCGGAAGAAGTGAGCGCAGCGACTTCCACGGGCTGGAGAAGTAGGGTTTAAAAGAAATGGGAAAAGCGATCCAGGCCAGCCAGTGGGCCCGGCAGCTTAGAGGCTCCCCACCAGGAGGACGATAGCGACTGCACTCGCGAAGACGAGGCGCGCCGGCGGCCGCGGGTCTGCGCGGAGGAGTCGCCTCCCCGGCCAGGGGTGCGTGTGCAGACGCCAGCGGCAGCGGCCGGAGAGCGACATGCGGCGCGCGGCCCCGGGACGGGCTGGGCTGGGGAAACTCCGGGGCGGCGCGGCGCGGCGCTGACCCCGCGCAGGTCCGAGGAGGGTGCCCGGGCCCCGCCCGCCTCCGCCCCCTCCCGCGCCCGCCCCGCGCCCCTCCCCGCGGCGGCGGCGCATCCAGGGGCGGCGCGGAGCCGAGCGGAGCGGCTCGCCCAGCCGCCAGTGCCTGCGAGCTCCGCGGCTGCTCGGGGAATTCACGCTGCTGCTTGCTCGCTTCTCCCTTCCTCTGCCTGCTCGGGATGGCTCTCGGTCTCCGGCCCGAGCCTTTCCTTTGAAAGGAAAACTTTGCTGCGATTTCTCTTTCCCCTTGGAGGAGAGGATTAAAAGTTCCAGGAACTGGTACCGGCCGTGCCGTTTGGGCGCCCGGAGGGTGTGCGCCGGCGGGGTGCCCAGTCCCACCATGTGCACCAACATAGTTTACGAGTGGCTCAAAGCGCTGCAGCTCCCACAGTACGCGGAGTCCTTCGTGGATAACGGCTACGATGACCTGGAGGTGTGCAAGCAGATCGGGGACCCGGACCTGGACGCCATCGGGGTGCTGGCGCCCGCGCACCGCCGCCGCATCCTAGAAGCCGTGCGCCGGCTGCGGGAGCAGGACGCCGCGGCCGCCGGCCTCTACTTCACGCTGGAGCCGCAGCCCGCGCCCCCCGGGCCGCCCGCGGACGCCGTCCCCACTGGCCGCCGGGGGGAGCCGTGCGGCGGCCCGGCCCAGGGCAACCGTGGGGACCCCCGCGGCCAGACCACCGCCCCCCGCAGCAGAGAGCTGGTGAGCTACCCCAAACTGAAGCTGAAGATCATGATAAGGGATAAGCTCGTCCGGGATGGCATCCACCTGAGCAAGCCCCCGTACTCCCGCAAGGTAAGGGGACGCCGCCTGGGCGGCTCGGGCGCGCGGCGGGAGGGGACGCGGCTCAGCCGCTTCTGCCAAGGCTTGTTACCCACTCCCAGGTGACGACGGGGAGGCCAGGATGCTTGGGTGTCTGGGACTCTTTTCTGTTTTCTTTCTGTATTTAGGTCTCTCTTCCTTTCTTCCCGGTGTTTGTTAAGACAAGATCCCACACCCAGCCGTTAAGTCTAAACTAGGACCAACCCTCTGCATAGTGTCCGTGCTCACCTGTTAGGAATTGAACTCGCGGTGCTTCACCTGATAGCAAAGGGAAGTTCCCGGTGCCCTCTGCAGTAGTGTTTGGGTCTGCAGGGTACCGGAAAATTGGTTAATACTTACATTTTTTTTTTTACCTTTTTTTTCTCTTTCTTTTCCTTTTTGAGTTTTGAGAAACTCGCAAGGGAACTCTCTTTAAAGAGTGGGAAATCATGCCCTCTCTCTCTCTGTCAGTTCCATGAAACTGAATCCTGTACCATTAACATGGGCGTTCTCGGGGAGAAAGTTAAGGGAACACGGGTCAGTGCACTTGAGACAAGTTCCCAAACTGAAGGACACTGTAGGTAATAAGATGTCAGGGACATTGGAAATAACAGGGCCACTCCGTGTGCTTCGGAGGCCTGTGCTGTCACCAGTTTGGTTCGTTAATAATCCAGATGAGATGAAGTAGGTACAGCTGTGACTTCTAGAAAGTCTGAGTGGACCCGCATTTGGGAGAGAAGGACAGAGCGCATGGAAGTGGCCTAGGTAGGACTTCTCCGCAGAGGGAGAGATGTGGAGTGGGCTTTGCTCAGTTAAATAGCAGCAGGTGTTACTTCCTACCAGAGCTCTGCCTCTAGCTCGGAGTCTGTTCAGTGTAGGTTTCTGCAGCTGTGGAGTAGGGGGTCCTGACATGACAGAGACGTAGACAGCACAGGTGACCCTCAGGGCGGCTGGAGCTACACAGGACCGTGAGCATCTCAGTTTGAAAATCAAGACTTAGAGAAGCCCAGGAAGATGATGATGGCAAAGCTACTCAGCGGGCAGTAAACACAACACAATACCCCAACCGGAAATATGGATGATCTAAATGTCGTGTGGGCGTCTTGGGCCCTCGTAGTATCGTTTTATAGTCTTAAGGTCATAATGCCTGGATTTAAGGAAGTTCAAGGGAAAGCTTTGTAAAAAAGTAGACGACAATATCTAGGGTAGGTGGAAATAAGGGGTTTACTATTATCCATCTGTCATCTTGCAGGTAAGATAGGCTATTCGGATAGCCTGCTTGAGCATATAAATTCATTTTCTAAGGAGGATAGAAAGAGGGCAGGTTAGAAAGACAGTTTGCCTTGAATTAAACTCATGTTCTGGTTACCCACTCTGACTGTGCTACTGACGTGTGCCCAGAACCGGAAAGGAGAGGAGAACACCACCTTCCCAGGTAGTTAGAGTTGCAGGTCTGTCTGGTGTGGATGGAGGAGCTCAGTTGTCAGTATAAAGACTTGGTCCTGGACACAGTAGGTCAAAGGAGATCAAAGCCAGTTAGATGTTTGTTATCAACATCCCAGGAAGTCAGGTGGGCTTAGAGTGAGAGATTGTGAGTACCTGCACACATGGTGAGGACACAGTTCAAGTCCTGGCCAGAAACGGATGCAGAGAGCAAGGTAATTCACTAGGGTTTCCTTGGTCTTCAGGAAAAGTGCTGTGTTAGGGAATGGGAGGGCAGGGACACTGCACTGGAGGTAAGAAGGGTATGCGTGAAGTGAGAGATTTTGTTTCTGATTCTTAAAAAGCAAAAAATCCAAGCCTGAATATCAAACATAGAAGCCAAAAAGGATTTTAAGGACATGAAATATCTGAGTGTAGGCTTTGAACTGTGTACTCCTGCCTAGATCAATGAATGATTATGGTAGTGCATTTGCATAAGTACAATTTATATCAGAAAATATCAACTCGGATTGCGGTACTCCTTACTCTCCATGTGAAGAATTATTTTAGTCAACTTTACTTTTATATAAATCCCATAACAATAATATTTGATTATAAAGATATGATCCTACTTACTTGCTATACATATTTAATTCTTGAACTGATGGAAGAATAAAATGGGAACAGAAGTGTTTTCATGACCTCCTTCACTGGCGCTCCAGCTGGCGACCAAAAAAACTGGAGCTAACAAACTTTAGGATGAGAGAATAACACACATTGAAATAGGAGTGAAAATACAATTCATGTACACGAAACTGAACATACAAGTGTGTAGAACCAGATCATTTTGGTCATTCTGAATTTGCTGCTTATGTGTGCATTGCCTCTTAAGTTTTGGATTTTAAATTTTGTAAGAATTTGTTTTCTGATGCAGCTCATTTCTTCATGAACAGTGCTAGGACTTTTTCTTTAAAATGTGATGCACACTCTGATTTCTCCAGATCCCTTGCTCTATCATAATCAGAATGTGTAGTATTCGTCATGTGCATTTGGAATTTTGCTGGGTGGAGCAGGCTTCAAGCTCCTCTGCAGTCATTTGCATCATTCATGTCTGTGATTTTGTACTTTGCGGAGGATATTCCATGGCTTAAAAGCGGATTATGCCAAAGGTGATCAAGGCAGGAATAGTGAGTCTTTTACAGAGGAAAGGAAGTTGAGGCATTTTCCCAAGAATCACCTGAAAAGATTGTAGGATTTATTCTAATAACAGTTAGGGTTTTCTGGTTTAGAGAGATAAGTGAGTTAAAATGTAAGTCAAAAGTGAGAGTGGGTCCAGGGACAGCATGCCCAACTTTTAAAGGAAGTTTAAGAAGATAAGGACTCAGGCTGCAGCTGGAGGAAGAGGGGAGACTTTGAGTCAATGGAAGGGTTTTGTGGGTTTATTTGTGTTGAAGGATGAGAGAAACTGGAGCGTGTCTGTGTCGGTGGCTGGAGCTAGAGAAAGGGAGGTGGTCAGGGACAATCCAAGAGATCAAGGTCCCCCGGGAGGTGGGAGGGGACAGTGCCCAGGGCACTGGGAGGAAAGGGCCAGCACTTGCCCCATGGTAGAGGGTGGAGGGGTCAGGATCAGGAGATCAGGAAATTTCCAGGGGTCACACGGAAGACCAGGTGGTACCAGTGATGGGGGAGGTGGAGGTTTAGGAGAATGTTGTGTTAATATACAAATGGTAGCTACTATGATGTGGTGTTTATGACTGTGCCTCAGTCTAAGCATCACACGATAGAACGCATAGGGTTACACCTGACTACACACATGCAGAAGGTACCATTCATCTATTTGTGCTGCAGGTTAAGGGTTATGCGTGGTGTTTTGTTGAGTTCCATGAAGTCTGACAATGCTTGTGGGGTTGTGACAGGTGTGAAGGGTATGCGGCTGCAAAGGTATTTTATTTTCTAGAAGACCTGCCAAAGAAAAGTAGGACCTACGGTCAATATTGGGGGCTGGGAGGCTTCTAGGCTTTTTCACTGAAAAGTTGCTCCTTGCCACATCTACCAATTAAAATTGTTTGAGTTAGTATAATAGTATTTAATATTGCTGCAGGAGTGTTAATCTTCATTCACTCCTTAGTGTGAGTTTAATTAAGTAACAAGACTCTCATGGTAATGAGGCTATTTGTGGCTCTTCTGGAGAGATGGCCTGAGATGAAGGAATTTGGAAAGGCAGAGGTCGCAGGAAGGCTTCTGTGTCTGGGGCCAGGGTGAAGTATTTAGAAAGGAAAGAGAGAAGTTGGCAAAGATGTGTTTGTGTCCTTTGGAGTTTTGCCTTGGGTCTTGGCAAAAGCTAAAGTGACAATAAATAGTCCTCCTTTCAAGAACTCCTGCCTTCGTGACATTACCGGGGACAGATTGGAAGCTGGCAAACTTCAGTTTGCTCCAGATCAGTGTCCTCAAGGATCCTCAGCCTGGATCCTTCTAGGCTTCTGTTTTCAGTCCCCGATTGGAAGACAGTGAAAAGAAGAGGGTGAGGGAGGAGATAAGAGCTGGGCTGGTGGCTGGGCTGCTGCTTTCTTAGGCTCCTTGCAGGTTACTGCCTGTGTGGTTTCCACATAAGTGGACCCTCAGCCACCTGCCCATCCATCCTTCTGTCCACCTCTCATCCATCCAACCAACCGTCCTTCCGTTTAACAAATACTGAGCACCTGCCATGTGCTAGGCCCCGAGATTGGGATTGCAGGGAATGAGACAGACGTGGTCCATGCTTTTCTGTGGAGGGCCTAACCCAGTGCCTTATGGTAATAGTTGCAGCCATGTCAAAGTGGAATGTTATTTATACAAACATCAAGGGTTGGAGAATGTTACACTTGTGTTTATTTCAAATTTGTTTTGTTAAAAAGATCAACTCTGGTTAAAACTTGAGGGAAGGTAATTAATGATGAAATTTAAAATCAAAATATGTTTATTCCTTCAGCGTTCTCGAAAAAGAACTGGGAATTAAAATGCAACTCCTGCAGAACATGTAAAAATAAGGCTAGGGTGAGGCAAGTGAGCCATCCAGGGCACAGAATTTAAGGAGGTTCTCTTTAGGGTTGTGCAAGTCCAGGGTGGGCTTGAAGGCTGGCCGCCATGAACAAAATAAATCGTTCATTGTGAAAAATCAGGTATTGGTAGGTATGGTAGGCATTACTCAAGTCATACACTGAGCAGTCACCTACTCTTCCTATGCGTGATACCTGCCCTCAATAGCAAGGTGCTGAGAGCCGCGTCAGCACCCGTCTCCCAAACTAAGAAAGCGCAGTTTCCGGGAGTTGTGGCAGCCTGTGGAATTCATCCAGGGAAGAATAGTACGGTGCATTCATAGCACTCCTTCCTGCTGGCACGATAGTGCAGTGGTTAAGAGCACAGGCTCAGAACCAGATTGCAGACTTTAAGTCCTAGCACTGCAGGCAAGAAGCAGGAACAAACCACTGGACCCCTGAAAATTTCACTGAGGTAGAAGACCCATGAATTTCTATTGGATCTATTTCCCACTTTCTGACACACAGGTGTCTCACTAATAAGTCGAAAGTAGTTGCTTCATCTTGATCACTAGGTCCAAGCATTGTAATGCCATCAGGGCAGTTTAAAACGGTGATGTCTTGCAGAAGGGAAAAGTGATCAAGGCTGCT